AAGTGTTTGGAAGATTCTTTTAGGAATCAATTTCTTTTTCAAAATAGGACCAGATGCCATCGGGCAGCTGCTAAGCTTACAAATCTCCTTTCATCATAGTAACTCCCCTACCCCTCATCCTACGCGGCATTATGGGTGGAAGGTTTTGGGAAGAACTAGAGGAAAAAAGACCCAAAACTCATGGTAAAACCACAAAAGAGTTGAAGGTCTCACCTAAGATCGTGAAGAGCCTTTGGATCTGAGTGTTTCACGACTGATTTCTGCCTTCCGGTGAGTTTCCTCGGTGAGCTAGGGTGCGGCGTGGCTATTTGGAGGTGTCGGGGAGGTGAGGTATGCTAAATAGAGAAGAATGGGGGACTGAATTGGGCTAATAAAGGGAATGGAGTAATCACTCCTTGTTAGGACGTGATTATGCAGAGACCATGTCCGACGTGATCATGCCCAAATTGAGCGTGGTCACACCAGAACCCCTCGATTTGGCCTTTTGGACCCTGGTTTAGCCGTTTAGCGCAGGGTAACGTTCCTAATTTGATTTAAAATGATGAAATAATGATTTTAGAGTTTGTAAAATGCTCTTTTTGGTGTGGTGTTTGTTGGGCTTAATAATTTTGAACCGTTCAAACTGATATTTCTTTCAAAATAAATTCTATTCATTCATCCGATCTTTTGATGGTCATGAAAATTGAGATCAGATTTAATTTGAAAAAAACTCTCCATGAGGAGAATTGATTATGAAGCATGTCCTAAAAACCTTACTCATTAAACAAACTTTAAATGAACAGGTAGAAACATTAATATTAAAGATACGAGACAGGACCCGGAGATTCAAATAAGTTTGATGGACCCATGGAAAGTCTGACAAAAGTATGAATGATTTGAATTTGGAAAATAACTCAGTATGAAAAATGGATAGAAGAACAAATCCCCAACTGAGTCGGCAGAAATAAGCCTTGGTCCGGGATTTTTGTGTCGCCGCACTCTATAAAACTTTTGTAAGACTTCTTTCTAGATGACCGAACACGATATTTTGAAGAATAACATATATTTCTAAAGGAAGAAAATTTTACTTTTAAAATAGTTTTGACCGCCTAGATGATGAAAATTTTCGTCAGTTTACGAAACCAAAAATTTTTCCCTTATTTATAGGTGTAATATAAGGTTCATTTTAATTCTGAGGCTCATTCCCTACAATAGTAAGCCCTCTTAGTCAATTCTATATCTAGAGCCGTGAGCCCTAGAGAAAACTTTCGATTAATGTAATGAGTTTAATCATCAAAAGTCAGATTTTCTCAATTGAAGTGGTTGAAAATAAAGATCTCAAAATGGAAGAATTAAGCTCAAAAGAATGAGACTTACAGTCTGATGATAATGTAATGGGAAAGGCCTGAATGTGGGATCTAACCGTTTGAAGTTCAAAAGTGATGAAGAATTTAGAATGATTAGATAGTGAATTTTAATTGATTGGATAGAGTTAGAAGTTAACTTAGGAATATTGTATTTGACTGACTGAAATGTTTGGAATCCTTAAGCTGAGGATATAGTTGGGTGTTCTAGATGGAAGTGAAAATCCTTGACTTTATAAGGAACACTAATGGGTAGAGTAACCTATACTTTGGGAATAATCTTCCCTGTTAGATGCCCATAGCTTTTCGTTGTCTCGGGGACATTGGTAGCCGTCAACTATATTCGACCTCATAACTAGCAATCCCCCTTGAACGCCATAGCATAGAAGATTTGTAGTTTCGAGACAGTCTGAAATACATTCGTCAGTAACCAAGAGTTACATCATTCTAAGTTATTCCCTCTAGTCTCGTGGGTAGGTATATTTGTTTTGTATGTCCTAATTCTTAGCTCTAACTAAGACACCTATCAAACTAACATAGGTTTCTATTCTCAGATTAACCTGGGGTACGTGCATGATCCTTATTTTGGTGTCTAAGTTTGTTAACTTAAAGTTCATATCAGATCTACCTAGATTCTATTCTTGTTCTTTATCTTGGTGTATTTTAAATATTATTTCAGATTCAATATTTAATTCATGTTTTATTTTAATTCTTATATTTGTCAATCGTGGTGAAAAATCAAAATTTTCCAAGTTTTTTGAGTTTAATTTTGTTTATTTACCAGCTTTCAATCAGCTATTCAAGGTAAAGTGTGATGCATATGACATGGGGATAGGAACAGTATCGAGCCAGCGAGGTCGCCCTATCACTTTTTTCAGTGAGAAGCTGAATGTATCTAGGAGAATATATTCAGCGTAGGATAGGTAGTTTTATGCTATTGTGAGAGCTTTTGAGCACTGAAGCCATTACTTACTGACGAGCGAGTTCACATTCACGGACTACGAAGCCTTGAAATTCTTAAACAACCAGAGTAAATTGAAGGGTCTACACGCAACTTGGGTGGGGTTTTAATGTCATTCCAGTTCGTGCTTAAGCACAAGGCAAAGAGTCAGAATCGTGTAGAAGATGCACTGAGCTGTTGTCACTTGCTGATCACTGTGATACAGGCTCGATTCATAGGCTTTGAGGTAGTGAAGGAGCTATACGAGACAGACGACGATTTTTAGAAAAATATGGGAGCAATGTCAGGAAAAGCCTATTGGGAAATACTGTAAAGTTGATGGTTTCTTGCTCTTCCAGAGTAACTTGTACATTCATAGATGTTCTATGGAGGACTTGTAGGGCATTTTGGTAGGAACAGGACTCTCGCACTCGTGAGAGAACATCTCTTTAGGCCTTGACTAGCGAGAGATATGGAATGACACGTTAGGTAATGTTGAATTTGTCATGTGGTAAAAATCAGGGGATAGAATACAGGGCTATACATCCCATTACCAGTACTAGAGGCACCGTTTGTGGATATTTGCATTGATTTTGTGGTCGGTCTTCTGAGGACACCGGTACAAGGATTCAGACATGGTCGTGGTAGATCTATTCTTGAAGATGACACATTTCATATCCTGCCATTAGACATTAGGTGCATTGCATGTCATTGACTTGTACTTCAGGGAGATTGTGAGGCTACACGGGATACCCAGGGCCATACTTCAGACAGGGATGTCAAGCTCATAAGTTGCTTATGGAGGATTATGGGAAAAACTAGGCACCAAGCTTAATTTTAGTTCCACTTCTCATTTACGGATGGACGGGCAAACGAAGGTAGTGAACAGGAGCCTTGGAATTTGTTGAGATGTTTTATTGAGAAGAATATTAAGTAGTGATATTTGATTCTAGCTCAGGCCAAGTTTGCTTACAACAGATCCGTTGGTCAGATTATGAGTCACACGCCATTTTAGATCATGTTCGGGTGCAACCTGCTCACTCCACTCGAATTGGTACCACTCCCGCTGACATTAGAGATTCATGAGGATGCAGAGGAATGGGTGCATGAGATTCATAAGCTCCATGAGTAGGTCAGAAAAGAGATCACTGAGTAGAATCACAAGAATCAGACATAGGCGAAAAAGACAAGGAAAAATGTGACCTTTAAAGGAGACTTAGTGTAGATCCAGTTGATGGAGAGATTTCCAGTAGGAGCATTAAAAAAACTCCAGTCCAGAGCAGACAAAAATTTGAGAATAATTCAAAAGCTGCATGACAATGCCTATAAGATCGACTTGTCAGGGGATTACAATGTTTCCGCCACATTCTATGTCACAAACCTGACACTATACTAAGAAGACCCAGAAGCCTTGATGAATGAAGTTGAAATTCCTCAATCCCGGTAGACTGACACAGGGTTTATTGGCTGATCCAGTCAGTTCAGCAGTGGGGGACCGGTCCAACATAGAGGCTGGACCGGTCGGCCAGCCGTTGGTACCACCCCTTTCCTCCCTTTTCCCTCTTATTTACCTACTATAAATATGTTGCTTGCTTAGTTAGGGTCTATTTATTGCTGATTTCTAATTTAAGCCGCCGAGCGTTTTTCCTTGTTAGGGTTGTATCGGAGTACATGTACTGCTCTGGTAATATCCTGCTCCAAGGTGGTGATTACCTTCTTCAGATCCCTCCCCCACACCTCTCTTTCCTTGCTTCCAGCAGCCGAACATACCTCCTTTTTTTTCCCTCCTCCCAACCGCCAACCACCAATTTTTCTCTCATTCTTCAGCCGTTGATCCTCTTCCTGCTG